AGATTTCTGAGAGATCATATCTCCCAAACTCAGCAGTCACAGAATTCATCCCAGCACATATGATCTCATGATACTCTTCATTTTCTCCAGGTCCCAAGTTGAATCTGAAGGTTCTGTAGTCTGTTTTAATCTTCTTTCCCCCTACCACTGTCAAGGCTGTAGGTTTATCCGAGACTAGTTGGAGGTTTTGCTTGGTAGCCAGTTCACCATCAATTATATGTATATTTGCACCGCGGTCAAAGAATACTAATACTACCGCTTCTCCGATCCTGATGGATTGCATGAGGTAACAGGAATGTTCTCTAACTTCAGGGATGATCACAGCAGTAGATCCCTTCAATCTTGTGCCTGTTTCTGAATCAATCACCGGAGCAGGTTCAAGACTATCTATGCCCTGACCCCAGCCCAACATGTTAGCTGAGCCGGGAGCCAGAGAGTGAGCTTGGTACATATAGTTTACAGAGAACTTTATGGATGAATCAACAATTGTGGTTCCAAACTTTCCTATGTATTTCTCCATATCCTTCTTCATACTGGCAAAGGCAGCACGATTGGCTCCATGATCTCTTTTTCTACAAAATAATACATTGAATGGAGCTAATCCTTTGGTCGTAGCCCAGGTTTTGCAATCAATACACTTAAGAGTAGCAGGAACAGAATCTTCATTGAGACATTTCTTGGTTGTGCATACATTCTTTGGAAGCAAGCAGCAATAACATATTTTTCCTTTTTCCATTTTCTCCCATCTCGCCGCAGGGTGAAGAGAGAAAAATTCTGAGCACATTCTCATTTCATGCTTGTGATTAGCCAACGGGCAAGGAACTTTAAATTAGATGGGTACCATTGTTTATTATGATAATTTGTAGCATGGGAACTCACAATTATCTCCTCATCCGAACTGTTAGTGTCCACAGCTTGAACATTGTGGGATGATTTATTCTTGGTCTTATTCTTAGGAGAAGATGGAGCAGATCGACGACGTGAAACCTCGTAGGTATTTCTCTCTTGGATGCAGATCTCCTTAAAGCAAGAAAATGAAGGAAACCCTGTAGGATTCTTGAAGTCCAAATCCCTCTTCGTCATCTCTCTGACCCAGGATTGATGATCCTTGTTCAGCAGTAACCTGGATAACTCCATCATAGTACTATTGGAATATAAACAACTATCTAATTCTATTTTGTTAATGCTGCTGACCTTTGCTAGTTTCTCTAATCTTTGAAGAGCACTAGTGATAGCTGCATAGTAAGCATATTTCTCCCCAATAGACCCGGACTCAGGTTTAGATTTTAAGGATAAATTATTGACAATATCATTAACTATACGGGACGCCCCTCCATAATTAAGAATGAGCCATTGTTTCATATCTTGGTAAGAATCAGACTTATTAATTATTTTTCCCTTAATCTCCTCAGATAAATGTTTATTAAATAGCCTATTAGCCTTCTGAACAGAATTCCCCCATCCTAAATAAGCCAGTTCTGCCAGCTCAAGGAACTCATACACAGTAACCTCAGAATTATCCGAAAATATTCCAACATCCGTAGCATCCCCCCGAGAAGAATTTATAGAGTGGACCTCTGCTTTATTGTACAGTTCTTCAATCCTTGTACACCAAGGTTCAGCTCGATCTAACAAATCATTAATACCATCACAGTACTCTTCATCCATCCCAGGAAAATTAACATATTTCTGAAGAGATTTCTGAATATGTCCGATAGCAGAGTGTATTGCAGGAACATCCACAGTTTTGCATTTCTTAATCAAAGAGATATCAAGCAAATCAGAAGAAGTGTCAACCTTGATAAGTTGCTCTATCTGTTTCTCTAACCTCTCTATACCTGTCCTAACTATTTCTCTCTCTCTGCTAGCCCCCTCCGAGCAGACTGTATCCGGGTTCAATAGTGGAGCAGGGGCGGGAATACTAGGAGTTCTCTCAACTTGTTCAGCTAAACTAATGACTAAATTGGGGAGACCCTCTGTAACATGCCTCTCACCTTGGATGGTTCTCCTTAATTCTCTAACTTCAGATCTCATCGATTCCACGGCTAATCCCGGAGCACTATCATTGATAACTTCTTGAATAGAATCAACAATTTCTCTGGGTACTGCAGTATCAATCTGAGGCAATAGATCATCAATCCATTGCTGTACCTTAGAAAACTTTTCCTGCACTGCTTTATCCAACTCATTTAAGTCCCTTTCTACACCACAGCACTTCTGTTCCACTCTATCTAATCTAGTTTTAGTAGTTGACGAAACGTCCCTGATAGTATCTAGATCTTTATTAAGATCGGAGAAAATAGACTTGGCATTTAGGATAGATTCATTAAGGGACAATACAGCGCGATCTATTCTACTGAGATGGTTAGACTGAATACTGAAATTAGATGTCATGCTGTTAACCCAGGAATCTGTGTAAACTGCTATGGCTTGAAAGCAAGGGTTTGCTTCCCCAGTTCTGAGAGTTAACCCCCTAATTATGCTTGTTAAATCTTGCTCAGCGTGGTCATGATAAATTATCTTCAGAATTAAAAATATCATCAAGATTAGAGTTCCTAGAGTGGTTTGAATTGTTGATCTGTTGATGACTAGATGGTTCTATGCGGGGTGTTGATGTAGGAATAAGCATAGAACTCTCTCGTGCCGCTACTCTCGCGTCTCTCCGTGCCTCATCTAGCTTGTCTTTAAGGCTTCCAAATTCTCCCACTAATGCATAATCACCCGTCCCAAAAGAATCTCTGAGATTAGCTGGTCTATTTCAGTGCAAAACAAACTATGTTTATTATCAATAACATCTATTGGTTGTACTGAACTAGAAATCGTATGAACCCATTCATAAATTTGACCCTTCATTTTAGTAAACTTCTCCCTCAGGCGGTTATTTCTATCAAGGCTCTCCCCCCGAGTTTGAAGTCTAGTTACAACCCCTGTTTGAAGTCTTGTACCAATACTATTTCTGTATGAATCATCAATGAACCCCGTTGTGTTAATATGCGGGTTAGACACGCATCTCTCAACATTCGGAGTATAAGCATTAGAATTAAAAGGAATCCGGGGGGGGTTAGTAGAACTATTTAGGGGATCCCCATCACTTTCAGAAGCAGATCTCCTCCTCCCCCTTCTCTGATCAATATTAGGCATTTTAACCCCTGACTAAGAAACAAAAAAGGCTTTATTCTTGGCCCCTTTGCAGGAGTTGAGATTGAATGTTGAGCGACGCCGAGGCTTCGCCCTGAACAAATCAATTCAAAATTACCTAGAGACGATTTTGCGAGGCCGGATGCAACCCCTGTGTTTTTCCATCATTATCTCTCTGGAACAGCACAGGTTAAAGGTTCAATCTGCAGAGATAAAAAAGCCATTAAGATTCCAGAAAAAATAGTAAGTTAAATAAAGTAAAATATGTACAAATTATTGGCAGAAATTTAAAGTCATAAATAATCGACTAAAATAATATTCTCAAATCGTACTAGTACTAAAATGCTGTATTTACAAAAGGTAACCCCTAATATTGTACTAACCTCAACTTGTCTTGCAAAATATAAAAAACCAGTCATAAACTATTAAATTCTGAAAATACGATACTTTTTCAATAACTAGCGGTTTTTTCTTCACACATGCAAAAAACAGTATACAAACTACGTATATGCTTTCAATTAGAGAGATCTCCCGACACTGAGGAAAGTACAAATACCAGGAGGCAGCCTATACAGACTAAACAAAACCGGTTCTCAATTTTCTTGTGCAGTATATACTGTCACATCCACTGATCATGCATCAGGGGCGCGAAACACCGCTCTACAGAGGACCTTTTAAAGTATTAGAAAAGAAATCTAAATATTTTAAATTTAAAATTGGTAATCGTGAAGATAATGTCTCAATAGACAGGCTGAAAGCAGTGATCTCAATTGATGCACCTACTCTAGAAGAACCTCCAAATAAGGGACGTCCCAAGAAAGTAGCAGCTTCTAATGGATTATTTTCAGTCTCAGTCCTACTGCACCATGCCTGAAACTTGGGAGGGAGAACTATAGAAGCCTGACTTTTAGTTATAAGAAAATATGATTTTGTCTTAAATGTTAAAATTAGAATCGAGTTTGCATAAATGCCCAAACAGTTTCACTGATATTTCGCAAACTTGTTCAATCTCGGATTTTACACTAGTCATTCTTAGTATGTTAAACGAGTAACATATGAATAAATAAACTTATGAAAATATGTTATCATTCTGAGTTATTGAGACTTCTATAATATGTAAACTAAGAATGTGCTGAAATCTTGAACATAAATTGAATGAAAGAGCTAAAATGAAGGAATTAAACTAGAAAAGGTCATTATTGAAGTTAATATGGAAATGCGAGTAATTGTGTCAACAACAAGAATCATAAGTTTTAAGGTTTATTTTTTTTAAGGGAAAATTTAAGTAATTGAATTGAAATGTTTCCTGTTTGTGTTCTAAGAAAAATTGAAATGTTCAAATAGTTGATTCCTGTGTTGGTGCTGGGTATAGCTCTATTGATTGATTTCTTCGAGTTCCGGGTGGAATTCATCTTGTGTAGGCTCTGGTCTGGAACTTGGAGCTGGGGCTAGATTCCGTGCCTCCCGAGGTGAGGTTGTGAACGGTTTCCTGAGGGTTCTGGGTTTCCAGGTTCATGAATGGAAACAGTTGGTTGAGGTGCCTGTCTACCACTATCTTCTGCCCTCCTACTTCGTGACAGTAACTAATAGTAGCGCCGTAAACGTCTCCATTCTTTCTACGAATGAGTTGTTCCACTCTAGCTGCAGAAATAGGATTCTTGTATTTGAGTTCGTTCTTGAACAGGACTATGTCTCCGATTTGGGGGAGGTTGCCCTGGTCCTTCCAGGTGACAGTGAATCTGCGCCGAGTATATTCCTGCTCCCATAACTCATGGAACATGTTGAGAGTGACGTTCCATCTGGAGATCTGTTGGTTGATGGGAGCTACAGGGTTATGACAATATAGTTTCATAGAATATTAATAGATTCTGTAAATCGAATCTAGCTTTTGCCCATTGCTATATGGCCATATGCTATTTAGTATCTTGACTCTAGGTTTACTAAGGTATGAAGGGGTGGGGGTAGAACGCCCCCAGGCCACACATACAGGGCTTAGAGCTGATTATTCACATTAGTCACATGCATATATTTTAGGTAACCAACCTGAATTCTGCCCCAGTTACACCAGCTACGCTTGGTATACAGAGAGTTTGTGGGAACTTCTTTCATTCAAATCCAGTGAGTTTTCATTTTTTGCCTTGCTGTAACAAGTAGATATTTTTCCAAGCATTCATGAGTTAACATAAAATCCATTGTTATTCATAAATAAAGGTTTGAATTGTTAATATTGAAAACTTGTGAATTGTTCATGAAATATACTTTAACTATAAGAGTGGAACCAATTTTGTTTCAAACTATTTCATCCATACCACCAGGTAAATTCTGTAATGAGGAACAAAACCTTTTAAAAGTTTACTTCCAGTTGAAGAAAAAAACCAACAAGCTGATTTATCAGAAGTGCAGTTACAAGATGAATTTCTAGAATAAAATTTCACAAGCTTAAAGTAATTCCTTCTTGGTTCAAAAAACATTTTTCGAATTTATTTTTGCCTTTTAAAATTATACATAAATATTGAAGAGATTTGAAAATTAAAAAATAAAAATTTCGAACAGAAAATTTCCAATTTCTTTTGTCATCGAGGAACTATGTTATGCAAAAACGGTATTGTTTCTATGATGAAGCAATCTCAAGCAATCTAAGCATTTGGCAAGTTATCAATCTTTAATCTACATTTTGTGATTTTAACCCTATCCCCGCTGGGGTACTTGAAAACCAGGATACGCTGGGGGGGGGGTCAATTTGACCCCCCCCCTCTAAATCCCATGTTTTATGTCCAAATATGACAAATGATACATCATTAGAAAGCTCTTGTGCTCTACTTTTAGAATCTGCAAAAAAATTTGCAAATTTGCGAAAATTGAATTTTTTATCGAAAAATCCAGTTTTATAGTAAAAATGTTTGCAAAAAAAAATTTGTCCAAAAAATGACAAATTATACATTTTTGAAAAGCCCTTGATCATGCCATTTCAAATATGCAAAAATTTTTGCAAAATTTTTAATAACCTGATTTTTAATCAAGAAAAACTAAAAATGTGCAAATTTCCTTTGACAGGATGTTTGCAAAAAATTTGCAATTTTTTTTTCGCAAAACTTGTGCAATCCGTTTCTTTATGTCATAGGCTTTCCAAAAAGCTAAATTTTATCAAAATCTGACAAGTGAAAGTGGGTCAAAACAAAGATTTAGTTTGCTTCAGGCAAAAGCAGTCATTCAGGCAGTGTGCCTGAGGACTCAGGCAGTTAGTATTAAAGCCCGGTTTTAGGCCTAAAGGGAGGGCTTTGGGTATGTAAGAAAAGTCAGAAAATTTCAACAGCCTCAGACCAATACTTTTTGAGTTATGTAAAAAAAACTACAGGGGGGGGTCAAATTGACCCCCCCCCAGCGGGAATAGGGTTAACTCAACCAAGAACATGTGAACTTGTTTACTCTAATGTTTTCTCCTTTTTCAGGTAGGACAAACTGCTGGAACCACATTATGTAGTGAGTATTTACTGAATTATTATTATTAAACAAAATATTTAAGGAATGATTATTATATATTTCAAGGGAGGTTGAACTGAGAATGCATTATTGTAGAGAAATTTTTTCAGATTCAATTGAGACATATAACACGTTTTAATGATAATTAATTACTGAGTTTGAGCGCAAAGTCGACGTTCAACATCATCAATTTGGGTGGTTATGTTTTGAGAATTGTTTTTTTTAAATTTTTAAATAACGACGACAAAAATATAGTAAAATTTCTTTAGTAAACTAATTTGATGTTTAGGAACATATTTTTTAATAGAAATTTGTCAATAAATCAATGTTAGAATCAACTATTTTGTTTTCATTATTGTCGTCTTTTCAATAAAATTTCCAGAAAATCTGCAGAAAATCTTTGTGAATAATGAGAGATTATAGAAACTAATAATTGAATAAGATTACTTATTTTCGAAGAAAAGAGTTAATTTATCATTTATTTAACCTGTTCCCAAACAACGAATTAGTTTACTGTAGAATTTTAGCTTTTTGGAAAGACTATCACATAAGTAAACGGATTGCACAAGTTTTGCAAAGAAATTTTTGCAAATTATTTGCAAACAAAGGACATTTGCATATTTTTAGTTTTTCTTAATTACATCATGTTATAGATAGGACATTTCATAGACAGGGCATTTCATAGATAGGACATTTCATAGAGAGGACATTTTAAAGTTAGGACATTCTTAGACAGAGAATATATATTTTCATAGATAAGATAAAGCTATTTCTTCTTCCAAGTAATCTCATACAGTATACCTTGCTCTTTCTACGATCTGTCTGATTTTTTACTTTACATATTATTCATATTTTTGCTTTAAACCATGATCACATATCTTGTTAGGTGAGATAAGGATGTTAACGTTTTCATTTTTTTGAAAAACGATCGTTTTTTCAAAAAGTTCGGTTTTTAACTATAGTCGTTTTTAAAACGATCGTTTTTTAAAAAAATCGTCGTTTCGGAAACGATCGTTAACGACAACCCTTTGTTAACGATCTTTAACGTCGTCCCTTTGTTAACGATTGTTAACGAAGAGAGGAAACCGACCTGAAGGTTTTTAAGAAAATATCAAGAAGTTTTAGCTCCCCCACAACATTTTAACTGATGTAAGACGACATTCAATACAGCTCCATGTAATTTTTTTTCTCGAAAATGATCGTTTTTCCAAAAACGACCGATTTTATAAAGTTCGTTGTTTCGTTAACGACGACCCTTCGTTAACGATCATTTTTTCAAAAGCGATCATTTTTAAAAACAATCATATAAAAACGGTCACAAATCGTTTTTAAAAAACGACCGTTTTCTAAAACGATCGTTTTTCGTTTTCTAAAAGTTCAAAACGAGTGGATCGTTTATAAAAACGATCGTTTTTTTCCAAAAACGAAACGATCGTTTTTAAAAACGATTGAAAAACGAAAGAAACGATCGTTTTCAAAAACGATTAACAACCCTAGCGTGAGACACACATTACAAAACAATGCGTTTATGTGGATTATTATCAAAAATATATGTTTCTCAAACTAATAACATTTTCTAAAATTGTGACACATTTTTTAGCAACCCAAAATCTTGAATTGACTCTGAAAAAAAAATGTGAACAGCAAAGCAATATCCGCAAAAATGTTTGTTTATTGCAGAGTATAGACGAAAAATTGCGACTTGAAAAGCAACAATTAAAAGTTAAGATTGTTACTTGTAAAGTGGTGCGAAGCGCCTGAAAAGTCAAGTTTGATATATGCCCATAGTTGAGAACCCTTACAAAAAATGTTTTGCTTTAACGTTTTAAGGTGCTCATGTTCCATTCCGCTGGGGAGTGAGGTTTGATGATGGAGAAAAAACAGATGATACAACTCCAGAAACTAATCTAAATGCTGCAGAGAACTTTGACAAGGGTGGAATGATTGGTTTCAACATGAACTGGTTCCAAGTAGCATGCTAAACTAAGAACAGAATTATAACAGAAATAAAACAAACAAAAGATAAAACGGTAATAAAAATATTGTTTTAAGAATATTACAGAAACTTCATAGTATTGCAATAGAGAAGTAATAAGAAGATATAACAGAAATAAAACATAGTTAATCTTAGAAAATATTTTATTTTGTGTTAATCAATGAAAAATAAATGCCAGCACATGGAAAGTAGATAAATATTATGTACTATGCATAAATTTTTGTTCATTTTCGCAAAATAAAAAAAAAATTGATAGAAAAATAGAGTGATGGTCGATTTTCATAATGAAAGTTCAACTGAAATTTTAAATCTTAATGTGAGTGTCTTTGAGTAGCAATTAACAAATGATAATGGTACACTTGTTAGTCGTTGATGGTACTCAACTTGAAGGTCACTCAACTTAAGATTAAAATTCCTTTGAAAAAAGCAGAAGGATGACTATCTATTGATAACTTAAAAAGAACAGAGAGATGACAATTCTTGAGAGTTTGAAAAAAAACAGAAAGGTGACAGTTCTTGACAGTTAAAAAGGAGCAGAGAAGTGACAATCCATGAGAGTTTAAAAAGAGCAGAGAGGTGACAAGACAATCCTTTAAAGTTTAAAAAGAGCAGAGAGATGACTATCCTTGAGAGTTTGAAAAGAGCAGAGAGGTGACAATTCTTGAGAATTTGAAAAAACAGAGAGGTGACAATCCTTGAGAGTTTAAAAAGAGCAGTGAGATTGTACTGCTATGACAACTTGAGAAGAACAGAAAGATGACAATCCTTTGATAACTTAAAAAGAGCAGAAAGATGACAATCCTTTGATAACATGAAAAGTGCAGAAATATGACAATTCTATGATAACTTGAAAATAACAGAAAGATGGCAATCCTTAGATAGCTTGAAAAGAGCGGAAAGATGGTAATCCTTTGATAACTTAAAAAGAGCAGGAAGACGACAATCCAATGGTAACTTGAAAAGTGCAGAAATATGACAATTTATGATAACTTGAAAATAACAGAAAGATGACAATCCTTAGATAGATTGAAAAGAGCAGAGAGTTTACAACTCTTGAGAGTTTGAAACGGGCAGAGAGGTGACCATCTTTGAAAGTTTGAAAAGAGCAGAAAGATTACAATCCTTAGATAACTTAAAAAGAAAAGGGAGGTGACAATCCTTGAGAGTTTGAAAAAAGAAAGAGAGGTGACAATAAAAAGAAAGAGAGGTGACAATACTTGAAAGTTTGAAAAGAGCAGAAATAGGACAATTCTTGAGCGCTTTAAAAGAGCAGAGAGGTACCAATTTTTGAAAAAACAAAGAGAGGTGACAATACTTCATAATTTGAAAAGAGTAAAAAGGTGACAATTCTTGAGATTTTAAAAAGAGCAGAGAGGTGACAATCCATGAAAGTTTGGAAGAGAAGAGAGGTGACAGTTCTTGAGAGTTTGAACAGAGCAGAGAGGTGACAGTTCTTAAGAGTTTAAAGAAGCAGAGAGGTGACAATTCTTGAGAGTTTGAAAGAAAACAGAGAGGTGACAATCCTTGTGAGCTTAAAAAGAGCAGAGAGGTGAAAATCTTTTGATAACTTTGAAATAGCAGAAAGATGACAATCCTTTGATAACTTGAAAAGATCAGAGAGATGACATTCATTTGAAAACTTGAAAATAGCAAAAAGATGACAATCCTTTGATAACTTGAAAATAGCAGAGAGATCGTAATCCTTTGATAACTTGAAAAGAGAAGAGAAATATTAATCCTTTGATGACTTGAAAAGAACAGAAAGATGGCAAGTCTTTGAAAGCTTGAAAAGAGCAGAGAGGTTTCAACTTTTGAGAGTTTTAAAAGGGGAGAGAGGTGACAATCCGTGAAGTTTGAAAAGAGCAGAGAGGTGATAATCCTTATAGTTTGAAAAGAGCAGAGCAGTGACAGTTTTTGAGAATTTGAAATGAGCTAGAGGTGACAATACTATAGAGTTTAAAAAGAGCAGAGAGGTGACAATCGTAATCCTTCAAGATAACTTGAAATATAATAATACTAGCTGAAGGGCCCGGCGTTGCCAGTGGAAAAAAATGTTGAAAAAATGTTGTTTTTTAACAACAAAAAAATGTTTGATTTTTTAGCCTATAACACCCCCCTGGCACCCATGGCCATATCTTGTTGTATTGTATAGATTACATTGAGGAGAACAAATATTTCCTACTTGATCATTTTTTTATGACAGCTGGGTTCTCCTCTTGATATCAGATTAGTTGTGTGCACTGTGCAGGGGCGTAAATAAGGATTTTCTAGAGAGGGGGGGGGGGGTAAATTTTAACTTTTTTTACCCCCATCTAGAATTTTTTACCCCCCCCCCCCTAGACCATGAACGACCCCATTCATGTTGTATATCTGATTATGGGTTTTAGCTGGGTTTCATTTCAATTTCCCAATCATTTCTGGGATTAACAATCTCTATCAACTAAAAGGTTTCCAGTACCCCCTTTCAGCTTTCACCTGATTTAATTTATATCTTAAAAGTTTTCCATTATAAATTGAAACTTTTTAACCTGCTTATAGTCATAGAATAGCAAATCTATCAATATGAAAAATCAGCGATGATCAGATACCTTCTATTTTATTTGTTAACGTTTTCTCTTTGTATACATTGTAAAACAAAAAACATAAATTCTCGGATTCATAAAAAATTTCGTGAATTTTCAAAATTATCAAAAATCAAATATTGTTAGAAGCAAATTTTTAAAAATTCAATCGTACATAAACCTTCCCTGGGGCCACGTGAGGTCCCACACAAATTTGGGCCCGATCGGTTCAGTCGTTTTGGCGTTTATTGCATACAGACAGGCAAAGTATATATTCATCATAGAGAAGATTAAGAACATGAAAGAGGAGTGGATGAAAATGCTGTTTGGTAGGTTCTATATCAAAAACTACTGTGCCAATTATAATTCATATTTTCTCCTGAAAGTTAAGGACCTTATACTGGAAAAAATTATTTTTACACATGCACAGAGATTTCCTTTGGAGCTAGTGTTTTTCATGAAATTTGTCCAAAGTCAAAATCCGATCAGCCAGCGTTAATTTTAAACTGATGAGTGAGAGCGTTTTTTTTAAAGTCTTTATCTATAGTTGACACCTTTATGATATATTCACTAGTTACATTGACTATCTACATTTATTCTGTAAAAATATGGATTTATTTCAATCATTGTGCATATATTTTATTTATAGACATGTATATATATGTTAATTTCACTATATAAAAAGAGAAATGTCTTACTTTTTAAAATTCAATTAATGATAATCTTGACTTCTTTCATGTGCTTAATTATTCAGATATCTTCAGAAATAGCTGACCTAATAGCATTTAAAAATAAACTCCTGGCCTGGCTCTTGACTTGTTGGACGGGGTACCCTGATTTGGTTCTACTTAGTTGCAGATGGAAGATTAGTTTTTTAATCAGCAGATTTTTTTATAATGCAATCAACGCTAACAATCATACCTTTCCAACAAGCTATTAGTCACGGAACCTCTCCAATAAGTAAAGAAATTACACTATCATTCGCATTCTTGAACAGATACACGACCTCGTACAAGTTGTACAGTGTGGAATAATAACTCTGTATAAACCAATAATATAAATCTTTTTTTCAAGTTCGCATGGTTCCTAATCACACACGGCTGTAAACTAAGCTGATGGGCATTCTTGAATTGTGAATATCGATATCAATGCTTGATCTTGATCTTTTGTTTATCTACAGAATGTCGTGTGTAAAAAACGAGCAGCCAATCAGAAGCATGGGAGTTTTTTGCATTCAACCAATGAGAGAACAGAGTATTGCGGATGTCTAAAAATCAAGAGATCAAGCAGACTCTTTGAAAAATGCTAAAGTGCCCTCTGCGGATATCAGGATCAAGAGGTCGGACATATAAGACAAAAGTTCCCAGTCCTGGTTTCGTACATTGGCAAATGCATATGCTTTAATAAGTCATTACCTAAGGCATAAACCCGAGTTCAACCCTTTGAGGGTAGCCCCCTACATTATGATGAACTTTTTATTAAAAAATAAGTAAAAACATGTTTGATGGGTTGTATATATGAATTTTTAAATCTGAAAAATCAACATGAAGATATTATTCTTTGACAAAGCAAGGCGTTTTGTATTAAATTAAAGAAAAGATATTTAAAAGAAGAGTATTTGAAAATCTTTTGATATTTTTTTTTGATACAAGGGATACATCTCATCTCATCCAGTTCTGCTGAATCAAGATATATTGGTTCTGGAATAAAGCTGAGGGTAGGGAGGCGTGGAACTAATTGGAAAACACATTTTAGAGATAAAAACATCCCCATCCCTTGTCTCCGTCTCTTCTCTCCATCCCTTCTCTCCATACCTTCTTACCCCTTTCCCTCTTTTCTCTTCCCTCAGACCACTTTTCAACCTAACCCCCCTTTCCTCAATCTTACCCCTACCCACTTTTCAGCTGTACCACCATTCCCCCCTTCTTCCCTCCCTTTAGACATATTTTTGCCCTGTATGGTTGGCAGGGGAAGTTGGTAGTATATGTATACAGTTTTCTATAGTTCCAGATTCTTACAGATTAAACATTACATATATCACAGGGAATATAGGATGGGAGGAGGGATATGTGAGACTGTGAAGGAGGAAGGAGGGTATCCATGTTTAACTCTCATGCAGATGGAATTATTAATTATGATTTTCTGGTTTTCCTTGTCCTCCTATTTCTTCATTTTCTTCCATTTCTCCTAGTTCTCCTAGTTCTTCTAGTTCTCCTAGTTCTCCTAGTTCTCCTAGTTCTCCTAGTTCTAGTTCTCCTAGTTCTACTAGTTTTCCTATAGTTATCCCAGTTATCCTAGTTATCCTAGTTCTTCTAGTTCTCCTAGTTCTTCTAGTTCTCCTAGTTCTTCTAGTTCTCCTAGTTCTTCTAGTTCTCCTAGTTATCCCAGTTATCCTAGTTATCCTAGTTCTTCTAGTTCTCCTAGTTCTCCTAGTTCTCCTAGTTATCACAGTTATCACAGTTATCACAGTTATCCTAGTTATCCTAGTTCTTCTAGTTC